GGTGCCAGCTGCCACCAAAATTGCCAGTGTAGAGGTAAAGAAAAATAAGCAACCTGGAGAACTGGAGCTATTAAATCTCAGTGTTTAGAGTTATACACTTTGCTGACAAAAATACGGATTCCTAGGCCTTGTCTCCAGAGATTCTGATTCACTAAGCTGGGGTAGAGTCCAGCAATCTGTTTTTTTAGAAGGCCATCTTGGGTAATTCTGATACAGGTAATTCTCAGAACATCCATTGAGAAATACTAATCAAAAGGAATTCTTCTATAGTCAAGGCTATTAAATTATGGTAAATGCCATAACTTACTAATCATAAGTCTATAATAATTTTTATTTAAAGTATAATGTTGAAATAAAACGGTCTTAGGTGAATAATGAGTATGTAAACTTACTTTTAAAAAAGTCATCTACTTCATCACTCGGGTATCAAGCCTAGTACCCATTAGTGACGAAATAATCAGTACAACAAACCCCATGACATGGGTTTAGCTATATGACAAACCTGCACATGTACCCCTGAACTTAGAATAAAAGTTGAAAAAATAAATAAAAAATTTTAAAAATCATCTGAAAGATAATTTCCACGAGTTTTAATAAAATGTATTGATAAAATGGAAGAAGAAATTCTGCATTAGATGTAGCCTTCAGTTTCTCCATAGACAAACTATTTCAAGTTGAGCCATTCAAGGTGAGGATGAATTGTGCAATGCTCACCTCAGGCTTGTGGCCTGCCTGTGTAAACTGAGTTGAGGATATATGGAGAGCCAGGGCCTTGGAGAAAGGCCCTGAACAAATGCTGGGTTCATTACCTTAGCTGGAGAAAGTGGTTTCAATCTGAAACTGGGCAGTTCAACCTGGAACTTGACAAAATATGACAGTGTTGCCTAGGGCCAAAACGAAGAGCGAACTCTGGGATAACCTTGGAACTGAAAAACCTGATTATTGTGTTATGAGGAATCCCTAAAATCTGTAGACCTGTTGATTACAGGGCTGCAGTGAATAGCCAGTAGTTCTTTCCCATTGGTCAAGTTGCTGTGCTGGCTAAGCAGCAGCTGCTCAGGTCAGGTGAGAGTGGTCATTATTGAGGAAATAAAGGTTGGGCCCAAAGAGGGCATACTCCAGATTACTGCTGCACTTGTGCTGAAACTCACCAGGGTTAAATTGACAAGCTTTCTGCGTGAGAGAAGGGAGTGGTGGTGATTTCTGGAGCTTGTAGCCAGGGTGAGTAGCTTGCCTGAGCGTTCTTAGGGTGTTATAAGGAGTGTTTCTTGGTTATTCAACAGTGTAGTTAATACAGTTTCTTTTAAGAAAAAAAAAATTGATTTTAACACTTGAATAAAATAAACACTGCAGATATTGTGTATCTTGAAAGCTTTCAAATTGGACTCCTTGAGATCTTCATGCTGCTGATAAAAAGCTATATTGATACTGTTGATTCATTGATTCTTCTGCCTTGTAACCACAGAACATTTACTAAGAAATAAAAATTAAGGTTACTGAATGTATGCTTTTGTGGCCATGTATTATACTGAGATATGTATGTATATTTGTGATTGTATATTATATGTAACTTATAATTTGTGGCATATATATGTCATATATACCATCAATTATTTCTAAGGCAATGTGCCTCAGCTTTATTAATGCAGCTGTTTTTCCTAATGTTTAGATTCAAGTCAACTAAAGTAAGTCTTCCTACAAAGCATTCATTCTTGAAATAAAAGGCATTTAGGCGGGCAGGTGCTTTTGTTTGAGTTTTCACTAGATCCTTTCTATCACCTGAAAGCTTTTTGCATTATTACTACAGTCTCGTTTTATTTAGACATTTGCCTCGAGGAGCTGAGACATTCTTAGACCTTCATACTTAATTGCCCCAAAACACTTAAAAAATGTAATTTATTGTTATAAAAGCACTGTATATTTACTGTAGAGTATTTGAAAATTATAGAAAAGCATAATTAAAAAATCATCTATAATTCCATTACTCAGTCATAACGACCATTAAAACATCACCTACTAATCTTCCTTTCAAGCTCTTTCTCTCTGTGTATGTGTATAAATACAAATAGATAACATACTCTCGAATTATATATAGTCATAGGTAGTTTTTCCACTTAACATTAGTGCATTGGCATATTTCCATATTATTAAATATTCTTCAAAAACATGATTTTACCGACTGTATATTATTTTGTTTTACCAATATTTAAGATTATTTTCAACTTGTTGTAATATTAATCCTCCTTGTGCAGAAATATTTTAACTCAACCCTGATTGCCTTAACACAAATTGAGGAAAAACTGGAGTTACTGACTAAAGGCAGTGGCATCTATAGGGATCTTGACACATTTTTGTCAGACTGCCCTCTGGAAACCTAACTTGTTTGCATGCCTATTAGCAGAGCATCAGCACCTGTTTCACCACATCTCCAAGAGGGAATATAAACTTTAAAACATATGCAGTAGTGAAAGAGGATATCTCATTGCTTTTGTGCCCTTTTATTTTTATTACTACTGAGACTGGACATATTTTCCCATAGTGGTTGACCTATAATCTTAAGGAGAGAACATATTTTTTAGCAAAATTATTTAAGACTATTACAAATTACATCTTACTCCTATTGCATCCACATCTTCAGAGTTGTACTAATTCTCAGCCTCCCAGAGTCCATTAAGGGATTTTTTGTTTGTTTGTTTTTTGAGACAGAGTCTTGCTCAGTCACCCAGGCTGGAGTGCAGTGGTGCAATCTCGGCTCAATGCAACCTCCACCTCCCAGGTTCAAGCGATTCTCTTCCTCAGCCTCCCGAGTAGCTGAGACTACAGGTGTGGGCCACCATGTCTGGCTAATTTTTGTATTTTTTTTAGTAGAGTTTCACCATGTTGGCCAGGCTGGTTTTGAATTCCTGACCTCAGGTGATCTACCCGCCTCAGCCTCCCAAAGTGCTGGGATTATAGGCGTGAGCCACTGTGCCCAGTCCTGGCTAATTTTTATATTTTTAGTAGAGACGGGGTTTCACCATGTTAGCCAGGCTGGTCTTGAACTCCTGACCTCAAGTGATCCACCTGCCTTGGCCTTCCAAAATGCTGGGATTACAGGCATAAGCCACTATACCTGGCCTATTAAGGGAATTTCTTTTAATGAAGGAAACTGTATTATGATAATAAAGAGCCTGGGCTTGTGTGTAGGAGCAATGCCAAGCCTTGCAGTTTAGCCTTCCGTAACCCTGAAGTTACTTAACCTTGCTATGCTTCAGCTTAACTGTAAAACAGGGTTGATAATACTCACAGTAATTCTCATGAGATAGGAATTTTTCAAGCTTTTTCAGTAAGAGGTAGCTGCTATTAAAAATGAGAACTGTTTCTCTCCTAATTGCAAGAAATCCCTAACAGATATAATCAAGGTCTGATAGCACAACACTCCTAGAAGCCAGAACTTTTCAAGTGTCAACAAGTTGCATATTTCACCTCATTATTCAACTTTTTACTGGGTAAGGGAGCAGCATAGATAGTGGGCCTTTTTTTTAACGGGATGTGAGGGAGTTGGCAATGAGATGGCTCATGCTACTAGCAGAAGAATGACCTCAGGGTCTTGCAGGACACACAGTGTTTGCTGATCTGAGGCTGGGCGCAGTGGCTTATACCTGTAGTCCCAGCACTTCGGGAGGCTGAGGTAGGAGGATCACTTGAGCCCAAGAGTTTGAGATTAACCTGGCCAGCATGGTAAAACTCTATCTCCACAAAAAATACAAAAATTAGCCTGGCGTGGTGGCATGCACCTGTAGTCCTAGCTACTCAGGAGGCTGAGGTGGGAAAATGACTTGAGCCCGGGAGGGCAAGGCTGCAATGAGCTGTGTTCACACCACTGCACTCCAGCCTGGGTGACAGAGTGAGACCCTGTCTCAAAAACAACAAAAAAGGTGCTAG